TCTGTCCAAGCCCATATCGAATACGTTCAGGTAGGTCACCAACATCACGCGGGCTTCCCCGCAAAGGGTCACCATCGGTTAATCCCGCGTTTGTCGGAGTTCCAATCGCCCGGGGATAAAGCATAGCATGTGCTTATTCATCCGCTGCGGGAATGGTAGAAACAGAGTCCGCGGGCGCCCCCGCCATGCCAAAATCGCCTTTGACGGACATGCGGAAGTCCCCGACAAACTCAATATCTGCAGGCTGCCCCGCGATGGGCGCACCCAGCCACTCTGCCAAGTCGATATCGTCGGTCGGTGAACACCTCTTCGAACAGCTCGTCGGCGTAATTCTCGAGGTTCATGCTGGCGCACAAATACCTGGCAGCCATGAGATGAATGGCTGTGGCTGAGCCGTCAGCAGGGTCGGCCTAAAGCGACTCCCAGTCGACGCGCTGCATGACGGAGTCAATTTGAGCCAAATGTATTGACGGACCCCTGCCTCTTCCATCGCCTTGGGGGCATTCGCGTCGGAAATGTTGTGCGCTGAGGCATATGTCGCACTCCATTGTTTTACCGTTGGCATCCTTTGGATTTCCTCATCGTCCTTTACCTTTACCTGATGTATGCCTACGGTTCCCGCCAGCACCTAACAACATTTCTTCACACTGGTGCCCAATGAGAGATGCTAGGAATGCTAGTATGCCGCTACCGTGTAGTCTCCGACGCATACCTTCGCCTTTATTTCGACCCTTGCCTTTTCCTTGGGTTTCCGCCGTGCCATGCGTCTTGCCCTCCTGGCCCGTTTCTTCATGAATCTCCGCCAACGGCGCTTGTGTGTTTGATCGCCCAAAAATAACCGCTGAGCTTGCTGCTGTTCAGTCAGGTATGTAGGCATATCAGAGTAGTCCAGCGCGGTAGTTTCATCATCAGAAGACGTATCGGCATCGGTGCCAGAGTCGAGGTCGGACTCGGCGGGCTGCCCCGCAGAGCCTATTTAGGGTCATAGCTGACCGCGTCGGGTGGTCCTCTAGATCTGACCCAGGAGTCTTGAGGCCCCGAGGCCGTGCCGCCATTCTGGGCCAACAATGTAATGGTCTCAGTCGGCAGCATATCATCGTTCCAGACGTTGTTAGCAGTTTGCCCTGCGTTGGCCTCTGTATGGAAGGTCTCGGCACGGTGGCCGTGACTAAATATACCACCGATATTGCCTGGGGTTCTCTCAGCTATGTGAGCATATGACCTCGCACGTTCGAGGAGAGCATCAAATTGCGCTTGGTCCCTCGGCATATGGTGGTTCAGAGGCCGCAGGAGTTGCTGTGCCCACGACGTCACCACTCCCAGACCTCTGAATAATATTACTGTTTATATCTCGAAGTTGGGGATGTTGAAGCCGGTGGCTTCTGCTTCGTAGCGGACTATCTCGAACCGTGCTAACGACTGGTCGGGTCGTTCTCCCACATGGACACGAAAGTCGATGAGATCCGTGCCAGAGTTGAGTTGGAGTTCCTCTTCTAGGTTCTCGAACTTCGTACTTAAGAGGAACATGATGTAGGTGACGCCGTCGGTGTGGCGACCACCTATATTGACACCAGAATTGATGACTGCTGGGGGAACTCATGGCTATGGTCCGTGCGAGCCCTCCAAGACCGCGCTGAAGTGCGGCGGCCTGTTGGGAGGGCGCCATGTTGCCTGTGGTCACGTTGATCCAGGCGTGTACCTCGCGGACAAATTCGCGAAGTGGTATTTGACCGGCAGGATCCCAATGGGGGCCGGTCGTCCTAACGTCGTCGCCGCCCCGCATATGCCCCACCGCACATCCAAAAACGACCCATATGAGCCCAAAGATAGCAACCCCAATCCAATGGCCTCGTAAGTCGTAGTCGGGTGTAATCGGTGGAGACTCGTGTTTTGTCGTCGTAAGTCTGCGAGGGGAGGGAGGCGGCAGTATATCGTATCGCATCCTTCCATGCATTATATCTTCGGATAAATTTCAAATTGGAGTAGGTGGGTGGACTTCACGAGTGTAATAGCGCAGGGATGTATAATATGAGTAAGAGACCTCCGCTGGGGCAGAGGTGTCGCTGCAAGTTTCCTTGCGGTACTGCGTATCTATGCGCATTCCTCCGCGCAGTGCCACTGCACCCTGTTCCACCGTAGCTGTAGTCCACCAGATAGTGCCGTGGATGGTGAGGAGTAGAGCTAGAGCTGACCACCATAGGCCAGCTCCGCTACCAAGTTTGAAGGGGGCTGGGATGCCCCGCCATAAGCCTCGTCTCAGGCGAAGCCAAACTCCAGCTCGGTTGTATCGTAGTGCGATAGTCCCAATGCAAGAGGGGATGCCATGTTAAGTAAAAGTGGATGTCTTTTAGTATCAATAGCGATAGTGTGCCTCGCGGTGAGGCACAATCAAATCTAGGCGGCCGGCCGCTTGAACCAAGACGGCCGCGGGCGCACGCTCGCTTCCGCTCCTTACGTCCCCCAGCTCGCTTTAGAGTCCAAAGGCCTCCAAGACACTCAAGATGGTCCTCTAGACGGCCTAGATGGCCTCCAAGATGCCTCCAAGACGGCCACAATAATTTCCAAGACGGCCAAGATGGCCGCTAAGACGGCCAAGATGGCCCAATATGGGCCCGAGAGGTGTCAAGATGGCTCCAGAGGAGTCCTAGAGATGCTGGAGGAAGGCCCGAGGGAGCCAACATCGTGAATTGTCCGTAGGTGTTTGAAAGATGTTGCATTTTCCCTCGACCGCTCAAGAATCCCCAAGGAGTCCCCCAAAGCGTCCCAGAGGCGTCCAAGACGGCTCCAGAACGGTCCAAGAGGCCCCCAAGCGAGCCCCAAGAGGGCCCCAAGACGGCCCAAGAGGCCTCGAAGACGACCAAGATGGCCTCCAAGATACCTCAAGACTGCGAAGATGACCTCCAAGACGGCCAAGATGGCCTCCAAGACGGCGAAGATATCTCCAAGAGAGCCGAAGGTGGCCCAAGATTGTTCCAAGATGGCCCCCAGACGGGCCCAGAGGTCTCCAAGAGGTGCTCCTGGAAGGGCCGAAGTGCGCAAAATCAATGATTTCCGTACGTTGTTGAAGGGTTTGGGCATTTCCATCGTTTCGGCCTTCCGACGGCCCAAGACGGTCCAAGACGCCCCCAAGCTAGCTCCAAGATCGCCCAAGAGGCCTCTAAGACGGCGCCGTGACGGCCCAAGATGCCTCCAAGACGTCCCCAAGCGGGCGCCAAGACGACCCAAGAGGCCTCCAAGACGCCCTAGATTGCCGCCAAGACGGCCCTAAAAGAGCCCAAGAGGGTCTCAAGTCGGCTTGGAGAGGCTTCGAAGACGGCTTCCGACGGCGTCAGACGGGCCAGCAACGCCCAGGCGGCCCCCAACATCGCCCCAAGAGTGCCCAAGAGGCCTCCAAGATGGCCCCATGACAAGCCAAGGGGCCCCCAAGAGGGCCCCAACAAGACCCCAAGACGGCCCAAGAGGCCCCCAAGACGCCCGAGATGGCCTCCAAGACGGCCAGATGGCCTCCAAGATGCCTCCAAGACGGCCAAGAAGGCATCCAAGACGGCGAAGATGGCCCCAAGATGCGCCCAAGACGGCCCCAGATGGCCTGAAGATGGCCTTAGACTGCCCAAAAGGCCCGCCAGAGGCCTCCAAGACAGCCCAAGACCCCTCCAAGACGTCCTCCAGGAGGCCCGAAAGCTCGGAGACCACCTGGTCCGATAGCTCGCCCGACTCCGTGTTCCCCGAAGGCTTTCGAAACCCACTCGGGGAACGCGTGGCCCGATAGCTTGGCTAAGCTCAAAGCCAACTTTCGACCACGCAGGCGCTTCCAAAAAGGCAGAGGCGGCGGTGATTCGCCGTAGGCGTCTTCGATAACGCCACCGCGCCAACGTCTCAATATGCACTGATGATTCCTATCCGCCCCCGCATGGTGATCCCAGATGCGCCAAGGCAACGCCGTGACGCACCGACGCGACTCTGATCGATCCCATTATGATAGAGAGGGGACCAGCGGCAGGGGCGAAGCCCTTACGGATATTCAATCGCGCTATTCTCCCGCGCTGGTTTTGCGTCGACCTACCTCGCCTGCCTGCCTGGCTTTCCGCCGAAGGAAATGGATGGGGGGGAGAGACGTCGCAGGTACTTCCTATATTTCCACGTCCTCAGTATAATTCTACATCGTTCATCGCACCTCCTCCTCCCTCGTCCTCTGGTCAATGAGGGACCTGACCAGGGACTCTTAAACAAATAGCCTGGCGAAAGACCCAGCCATATGCAGTTGTGAGTAACGTCCTTGTGAGCATCGCCTTCGGAGGATCTCCTTATGGGGCCACGAAGCGCGTGTGCCACCACGTGGCGGGGCCGCCATGCGATCGCTGCGCATCGCGAGAGACATGACATGAAGGAGGGAAGCGCCCTATGGGGCCGCGAATCGTGTGAGAAGTTCACCGAAATGAAGGTTGGAACGGCATGCGGACGCTGCCACTGTGGCCTTAGGTGGAGCGCCGAATGGGAACACGACGCGTCTGAGGGGTTCGCCGAAATTGGGGGAGGAACTGCACACGGGCGCTGCCGCTGGGGCCTTTAGTGGCGAACCCGAACCCGCCGCTGAGGCCGCGAACACATCCGTCGCTTCGGTCGAGCCCCCCCCTCCCGCCCTGGGGGGGGGGGGTCCAAGGGGCCGCCTGTCCTCTCGTTATCCCTCCCGGCCCCATTTCCTCAGAAAGCCGCCCCCGTCGCGCCAGCTCCTGGTGTGCGCCGCCAACCTTCCCTCCCTGAAGGCTCAAAATGGGTACGGACAAGCTTGGGCGAATCACCCAACATCGAAAGTTGCCCAAACCATTGGCAGCGGCCACTGCTGGGCAGGCGACCCGCCTGTCTCAGGTGGGCAGCGTCCACAACTACACCGACAACGAGTCCTGCTCCAAATGGGCAGGCCCTGCCGTCGGCCTTCGTCCCCACTTTCCCGTACCCACTTCGAACGTGAGTGCCGATGTTTTCTCTCTGTCCTGCCCCAGCTAGCTTATCCTGGGCGGAGGGCCGTGCGCGGCGGCTTCGCGCTTGGCCGTCACCTCTCCGCGGTGCGGGGAGGGGCGCGCGCCACCGGTGCTTGCAAGGAGGGGGAGGAGGAGGAGGAGGAGGAAGAGGAGGAGGAGGAGGAGGAGGAGGAGGAGGAGGAGGAGGAGGAGGAAAAGGAGAGAGGAGGAGCAGCAGCAGCAACAGCAGCAGCAGGAGAGATGACGAGGAGGGGAGGGGGGGCAGGGAGGGAGGGAGGGAGGGAGGAGGGAGGATGGGGAGGGAGGAGGGAGGAGGGAGGAACAGGAGGAGGAGGAGGCGGAGGAGGGACGAGGAGGAGGATGAGGAGGAGGAGGAGGAGGAGGAGGAGGAGGAAGAGGAGGAGGAGGAGGAGGAGGAGGAGGAGGAGGGATTGGATTGGACTCAGGCGGAGACCAGGTCAAGCCTGGGCGCAATCCAATCTCAGGGAGCAGGCCAGGGGACTCCGCACTTGGGCGTGAGTCCTCGCGAGAGGCGGCTCAGCACCTCTGTTCCCGCCTTAGTGGGGCGGCGTGACGGGGGACAGACTTTACAAAACCCCCGTGTGTTCACAGTGCCGAAACTCTCACAAACAACACAATACAGCACACCCCTGAGAACCTCGAGGGTGTGCGAAAAATCAACTTGCATATACAAGGGATGGCAGGAGGGATCTTCAGGCGCCAAAGCGCGGGCCCCAGAGCAACGACCAGGAAGGAAGCGTCTTAGAAGGCCATTCATCGGGAACCTACGTCCACACATCTGAGACTTAAAGTCGGCCGAGCGCTTGACACAGGAGTGGCCAGCAGCGAGGAGACGGGCCTTCCTGGTAGCGAAGGCCGACAGAGCACGGGGCTTACGCGGGGCAGGACCGACGCGGGCTGCCGTCAAGCGCTTGCAAGACTCAGCCACTTCCAAATTAACTGCCAGCAACCTACCTAGAATGGAGTGAACTCCCATAACGACATCCTCAGGAACTGCACTGGAATCTGCAGCCCATCCTGCGAAGAAATCTGCACACCAATTCAGAAAATACTCATCAGACTCAATGCCGAACTTCAACTGCATATCTGGGGTAGCGTGAGACTTAGTCCATAGTACTACAACGTTACCAGGTCCACGATTATCTAACGCATACCACACCTGAACCCACGAGTCCATCATGGGCGAGGTCTTAGCAGTCGAGGAACGTGGTTTCGCCATAGCACGACGCAGTGGAAGATAATCTGCATAGCATACAATATCGCCACGGGCGTGATTGAGGACAACGCCGAAGGCGAAGAGCTGGGCCCTAGGACTCGATTGCTCAGGGGTCGGGAGGGAACCACAACATATAGCATCTAACCGAGGTCCATCATCGGCAGGAGGTCCCAAACGGACAATAGCCCAACCACATCTTCAACCTATCATACTGGGCATGTTGACCTCCAGACCCATCGAGCCCCCACAGGCCTCCATCAAGCTTCTGAAGAGGCCCTAAAAGCCCCCAAGACCAAACACGAGCATAGACAGCAGGAGCCAGCCCAACGGTAGCAGCAAGGGGGGTGGAAGACCACGAGTCCACAGGGCGCTGCCGGGGGCGGCAGCGTCAGCTTGTGGTCGCAGATGATTTGTGAGAAGAACGGCCGTATTATTCATCCAACATCTATGCATCATCGACTCTTTCTCATCTGCACACCTAGGGCACTGGCCTGAGGTCATGTACCCTGACAGGAACAAGCGCTCCTCTGGCCAACAGGCCCCAACTGCATGAGTGACAAGCATTGCTGCTCTCTGGTAGTCACCGTCTTGCACCAGCGGCCGGTGAAACTTCCTGAATACTGTAAAGTCGACGCCGTGCTCGACTCCTGCCGCGCAAAAATGCTCGGACGCCTTTGACCAAACTTGGGCTCTACACGTTTCACGAACACGACGAACGAGATGATAACGAAGGCCAGGGGCCCCAAGTCGGAAATCGGAGGATCCAGGAACTTCCCAGCGATCGATGGCCCTTGGAATCCAACCGAGGTCCAGGACAGTAGCACTCACGGCCGCAATAGGGCCTTTCACAAGCCTCCATTTTCTAGCCGCAGGTTTACGGTCGAATACTTCAGCATATCGAGCCCACGCTCGACGGGCTCCAGCCTGCATGCCTGGTGGCAGAGACTCCCAGACATCCGTCAATAGGGTAAGCTGTTATACGCGAAGGCGAAAAGTCGATCGTCGTTGAAATCACGCAAGACCTGAAGAACCGAAGTCGTACAAGCTCCAGAGTTCCAGAACCCAGAGCATGCCGCAGCGGTGCCACGCAGCTTCTTCATCTCCCAAGGAGGGATCCCCAGGACCCCATGGCCCCACGCACCGACGGACTGGATTCCAGGTTTGAAAACTTCCCTTGGGCGCCCGCACAGCTGCGCCAGACATCTAAGCTTCATACTTCTCCGAAAAACAATGCCTCTTAATCCCCCAGGTGGAACGACACTTCGCACGGGTAGTAACAGTACCAAGATCTTTCACGTATTCCCCAAAGCTCAGGACGAGGTTAAACTTGGCAAACTCGGCGCGCATCAACTGCTGGACTGCCTGGCTGGACGCAAGAGCGGTAGACTTGGTTGAAAGTCTGCAACCCAAGTCCTCAACGTCATGCTGGAGGGAGGCAACAGCCTGGGGGAAATACGTGGTCAGGAAGGCAAGCGGACCGTGCAGGAACTGAATAATGTCGTCAACGTAGGACCTAATCGGAACTCGCACCATGGGGCTCGTGTTGGGGCCGTCGGAAATCCTGGTATGGGCTCTCTCCAAGATGGCATGCAGATCGCATGTAACCCAGGGCATACCCTGACCACGCCCCGCCAAGATAGACCCCCCAGCTGCCAAGACCTTGGACATCATCCTGGAGACCCCCAGGGCCCTCGGGGACGTGTGGATGAGGGGGCCAAGGTGGAGGAGGTAGGCGGGGTAACCATGCTTGATGGCGAGGTGCATCAATTTGTGTGGGGATACTGGATCGAAAAACTTCTCCATATTCCAACTAGCACATACTGCAGCCATGCCAGATGAGAGAGCAACTTCGTTACATACTTCTCGCTACAGGTTGGCCTTCAAGGCCGAGCTTCTTTTCGCCACCGTATCCCAAAACTCAAGATGCTCTCAGTTCCAAGAATCGATGTCAAAGCCCCGCGCCTTGCAATACATGCGGTAGTTAGTGGGGCACTTAGTGATCGCTCTCTCAACCTTGATGGACTTAGGGAGCATGGCCATTACACAGAACAGGCACTGCGAAGGGAAGGCGAGCTTAACTTCGATGTCCACAAAGACATCGGCGAGCTGCTCGAGTGCTGGATAAGGCAATCCAATCAAGAAACGCGGAGACCACTGATCACCGCCAGTGGAAGTCTGATCTCCATACCTGACACATGCACGGGTGATGTCCTTCACCTCGAGGGGGTCAGAATCGAGAAGAGAGGTCTGCGCAAGGGCTCGGAGTTCATCCAGCCCAGCGTCGAGATACTTGCTAACCAGGGGCTCTGGAGTCCACCAGCTGTTCCACAGATACTCCCTATGCTTCATCATACTAATAGGCTCGTTCACGACCCCCTGGGGAGTTTCGAAATACTCGACCCAAATCGTCTCCTCTGCCTTATGGCACGCATGGACCTTCTTAGCACCCCGCGGCAAGGCAGCCCGCAACCATTCGCGAATACTCTTACGGGTGCGGGCATGCACCCGGGACCACGCACGTGCACATATATCACCACGACGATCGACCACCAGACGAGCAGCATCGCGATTGCAAGGAGAATCCTCCAGAAGGACGGCCCAAGCCGTTGCCTCATCAGTATCCTGCAGGGGGCCAATGTGGGCATGAACAAGAAGTGCAAATTCGCGAAGTACGTCACGCACTCGCTTCGTAGGGGTACTGTAGGGGCCTTCAGGAGCTTCCAATATGCATGAGTACGGGAACCCACCATAGACCAGAATGCGAGGGTCGGACAGCGGAAGCTCTGAGCTATTGGGCTTCGGGCTGCCAAGGAAGCGTCGCGCCTCTTAATCATGGTCCCACGACCAAGGTACATATGTGGTTTATGAATGATCGCACAGGCACGAGACAACATCATGAATTCAACAGCACGAGACCACACCGCATACTTGAAACTCAAGTCGTGATCCGGGTGCTCGGCGGTGTGCTGTGGAAAAGCATTCTTTACATCTTCGGGAAACTCAAAGGCGCGAGGCGAGAACGACCTGGCCGCTTCACTCAGATAAGACAACCAACAGTTGTCGGGGCTATATGCTTCAGGAGAATTAGCGGCAACGCTACGCACACATACAGGCAAGGATAGGCGTTCCAGGTCAATCCTGATATCCAAACAGGCATGTACTTCAAAGGGTGAGGTAGGATCTGCAGACACCTTAACATAGGGCCAAACCGCATCACTACATATAACGTAGTCAACCATATGCTCACCCACGACACAGGTAAACGTCACGCTTCCAGGAACGATAATCCGAGCACGAACGAGTTCCAAGAAACCACTCTCCTGGAGGAGATCGGGGGACATGCTGAAGCCCCTCATCAAAACCCAGGGAATTGCCAAGGTATTAACGAGCTCTTGCATTGAACGAGCTTATTGCCATGGAACGCAGACGGCTAGCATTTGCCCCAGAGACGCCGATCGACGGGGCCAGATACATCACCCACAGCGATCGTACCAGATCTTAAACGCATCTCTAGGAAGAACCAGCACTCGCCTGCGCCAGCTTGGACAACTTTGCTAGCCTGCTTCAAAAAAAAAAAAAAAAAAAAAAAAAAAAAACGCAGAGGCCAGGCTGGACTGCGGCACACACGCCTCCGTGATATCCACCTCCTGGCGAAGGCTCTGCACTCAGGAAATACTGGGATCAGCGAAGTTGTCGGCAGATTTTCTTGTAAAAACTGCTGATTCATCCTTCAGCTGATGCTCGGCGAAGAAGACTCCATCCACGCAAGAAGCCTGGTTTGCCAAGAAATCCTGAGCCAACTTCGACCAAGCCGTAATATTCACGAACTTGAAATGCA